CACCCCCGGCGACACTGAGGGGTCCCTGCAGCGCCTTGGGGACAGCGGGTGACATTCCCGCGGGCAGGGCCAGCACAGCTGCGGGTGCCAGGCTGGAGAGGGGACACTGGGGACACTGGGGACACTGGGGACACTGGGGACACTGGGGACATTGGGGACACTGGGGACAGGGGGCACTGGGGACATGGGGACAGCGGGGACACTGCAGTCAAGGACACAAGGGACATGGGGACACTGGGGACACACTCAGGTGTCAGAACCCGCGGGCCGGTGGCAGCAGGAGGCCGATGGTGACAGTGACGGTGACAGTGACGGTGACAATGACGGTGACAATGGTGACGGTGCCGCGGCCGCCGCGCGGGGGGGCCCCGGAGCAGGGGGGGCTGCAGGGAACACCTGGGGGGGGGGGCGACAGGGGGGACCCTCAGGGGCTGCACCCCAAATCCTGCAGAGCCCCCGGGGACACCCCCAGAGACCCCAAAAAATCCCACAGAGACCCCAGACCCAACACGGGTGAAGGGTTTGGGGGGAAGGTTTTGGGGTGTTTCAGGGCGAGGGTCCCGAGGGTGCTCCTGGGTGGGGGTCTCGATGTGAGGGTCCCAGGTGCTGGGGTCTCAGTTCGGGGGTCCCGGGGGTCCCGGGTCTCAGTTCGGGGGTCCCGGGGGTCCCGGAGCTGTTCCCGGGGGTCCCGGGGCTGTTCCCGTGGGGGTCCCGGGGGTCCCGGGGTCTCAGTTCGGGGGTCCCGGGGGTCCCGGGGGTCTCACCGGCGCGCAGCCGCAGTGTCACTGTCCCACAGGCGCATTCGTTGTCCCCCAGGAGGTGACACGTGAAGGTGCCATTGTCCCCTCCCCGCACGTCCCGCAGCACCAGGGACCCGGGGGGGACATCGGGGGCCACCAGCGTGGCCCTGTCACCGTAGGGGGGGTGACAACGCGGCTGACCCTGCCTCAGGTCACACACGGGGACAGCGGGGAGCGCGGGGTCACCCCGAAAGTGCCACCGCACGGTGACCACCCGGCCCAGGTCCTGCTCGGCCATGGGACAGCCCAGGGTGACAGTGGCACCCAGGGTGGCATCGGCCACTGCACGGCCGCGGAGGGGGCTGGAGCACGCGCAGGGGTCGCCGGAGCCTGGGGACAACGGGGAGTGTCACCGGAGCTGGCAGCCAGGAGTGGTGGCACTGGGGACACCGCGGGGTGGCA